CCCGTATCTGAGTGCAGCTTTGATGAAACGGTCACCCTGTTGTATTTAAAGGCTTCGTTTTTCCAAGTCCCTTTAACAAAAGCCGTACGAGCAAATTTACGGTACCGGACCGAACCCGTTGAGCTCTTAGAACTAACTCGCCATCCAATGGGGCACAAATACACCCCCCTGAGGCACTGCACACCATCATGGGAGTTTTGGCGGAGAACCCTGAGATTGTAGAGGCACTGTGTGCAGCCCCGTTCGAAATTCGGATTCACGTGTGGATTGATAACACGCGCATAAATAGGATATCGCCCCTTGTAGTTGGTCAGTGGGGAAAATGCATATCGAAGAATATAAGCCAGTGCTGCGCAACAGCTGGCGGGTAGCAACGTTCTTGTCATGAAATATGATTTCGTAGGGGTTCGCTTTAATCATATTTCGCAGACGGTATCGTTAAGTCGGGGCGCGGCGGGCCGTCCCCTGTATACCATCCGCCTGGCCCAGCAACGGCTAGGGGAATTACTGGACAATGGACCGGTTTGTTCCCCACGCCAGGCATCAACTTCCGCCACGTTGGCCGCGAGCGCCTTATTGTTTGACGGTCCAGGGGAAGAATTGATCGCCGGCGGCGCTTGGAACAAAGCGCCCCACATGATTTTCCAAGCGGAAGCTCGCGCGGTTCACCTGGCCTTACGGGCCTTACGCCGCCAACTCGAGGGGCCTTTGCATATCTGTGGAGATAGCGCAGCCGTGGCGCACATAATGACAACAAGCAACGCACACTCGGAAGCGCTCGTGCGAGAAGCGACGGCCATCAACAGGGCACTGTGGGACCTCAAGGTGGGTGCTGCGTGGCGTTACGTGGCCTCGCGGAACAATCCTGCGGACGGCATTTCCAGAGGTCAGGACGTAAAAGCACTTGACCTAGCGAAGGGAAGCGCGGGAGGCGGGTGATTAAGGACGCTTTCAGCTCTTCCTTTTAGGTTTTAAATTAACTGCAAAGGAAAATCTTCGATTCCTTTTTTCTTGGCAAATGGGCTTCCCCTATGTGCGAAGAAGTGCGAAACAAAGCACGCGTTGAAAACAATAATATTTTACTCGTCCCCTCCTTCTCTCCTTGGAAGAAAGTAAGTCACAGACCATTCCAAACGAAAAATTCACACACTTTCTACATGGGGGAATACATGCGCGCCGCCGAGGGGGGTGGGTGGGGCGCGTCAGAGGATGCCTGACTCATACGTCGGAACCATGTACTTTATGTTTATGTAGGCATCTTCACCGCCGTACCGTTCAAGCAAAACTAGGGTTTCGTCCACCAGTTCACTGATATTCTGCCGCTTCATCTGGGAGAAATCGATGCGATCGCCTAAGTTTTTGCTTCGATTCTTGTAAAGGTTGAATATAGGGAGTATTTGTCGGTAGTACGGTACCAGCGCCTGTCCAACATATTCGGCGCTCAGAACGAGCTTTTGTATCACCTTTAGAACGCTCACTATCACGGTTGGATGCCGTGTGTTGAGTGCGCTCTTTATGGGCACAATGAGCTGCGGAATGGTCGGCAGAATCTTCGGCCCACCCTTCTCGAGCAGATCGTAACACCCTTGGAGCGCAACAAACCGATATGGCTCTTCAAGCTCACGGAGGCCATCAAAGAAAATCGGCAGGAAGTGATGGTAGTCCAATGTGGCCACATTCACACGCCACAAAAGCGAGCGTGTTGCGGCCTGCTGGATTGATAGCGGCAGGTCACCACGCTCGTAGTGACTGCGAAATTCCGTAGGTGGGATGCGCTGCTTCTTGAAGGCGCCCGCCTTTCCTGGACCTTTGGGATCGCCAAAGCGCCCGTCATGGAGCGACGTCGATGATTCGCCTCTTCCCTTGAAAGTGCTGTAGGTCATGCCGCCCGTTCCGGTGTGTCCGAGAAGAGTTTGCTTGGGTGGTAGGTCGCTCGCTGCTGCTGCATCCTGCTGCTTGTGCATCGTTGCCGGCTTCTTCTTGGACGCGCTGGGGGCTCCGCAGCGTTTGATAACCGTCACCTCGTTCTTCACACCGTGACCCGGCGGAAAAGGGCCGAATGGACTCTCAGCCAACGGGGGCAGGAATTCCCTGTCGCGCAGCAGTCGATTTCGCTCTGCTCGGGAAAAAGCCATCCTTTTTGTTTTTCCTTTCCCTTATTTCTCCTGTTTCCTTTAGGTGTGTTTGTGTATGCGTGCGCAGTTTAGCAGCGGCCAGGGTGCACGAACCAAAAACAAAAAAATGAGCAGAGACAAGGAAACAAAACCACAGAATGTAACTGTGAGATCAGTGGGTGAGTGAAGTCGGTCAATGGCGGTGATGGTTGTGGCAGCGGGTGGTGCAGGCAGCTCTTGCGTTTCTCCGCGCTGTCTCCACACACAGGCATACCGTCATGCAGGCTGTTGGGGGTGGGGTGGGGCGGGAATACAAACAGAGAACCAAGAGGAACCCCCTGTTTTGTAGCAGCCCCCCCCCCCACAGTAAGTAGGGCAAGGAGAAAAACAAAATAGCGGCTAGCAAAAAGAAAAAAAATCGCCAAAAGCAAACAACACAAACTAACTTAAATTTTCACTCACGGTGCGCCCACTGCGCACCCTTGCAAGTTTTCCCGTTGCCCGTGGGGCATGCGCAACTCTTTACCGGGGTCCCTAGGCAGATCGTTAATACAAGAATACGCCCTCATGCTATGCGCCCGTCGGACACGCTGCTGCGCCTACGCAAGCCACAAACTGGAGGACACTGAACCAGAGCAAATAGCGGATTCATTCGCAGAATAACTGTACCCCCACTATGAACTATAGTGCAGATGTTGTCTTCGGCCAGTACATTTGCTGAACTCCATTCTTTTCGGAAACCACAGGATGTTTTCGGGTCCCTTTTTCATCGCCTAGGATTTCTTGAGGCTCGTTCCTGCAGTTGCGTAACTCATTTTGCGCACGTTGCATCCATGACCACATGGCTCTCAATAACGATTCCAGATTCTCTTGGGATCGTCGAAGCGCCACTATTCTCCCCTCATTTTCGCGCAATGCGTACTGGTGCTGATCACGTTCCGCATGTAGTTCTCGCACAGCCAGACCCATTCGATCAAGCTCATTCCTGAGTTCATCAAGCTGACTTTGCATGTGGAAATCCGTCTGCGTGGATATGCACGAACCACAGCCGCTGCCATTGTAGTGAATAACATCCCCCAGAGCGGGAACTGAATTAACGATACCACACTTGCCTTCAAGCTCAACAGCAACACGTCCGATGGACTCGTGGCAGTCCACAGGGCATCTCACCGGTACGCGTCGTAGCTCTCGCACCTCCACCTCAAGCGCTTCGTTTCGGTCGCCCAGGTCACGTATCTTCTCAACTACCCGCTGCATCAACAGGAGCCACCGCTGTCGTTCCTCTTCGTACACTCGCCGTTCCGCCTCAAGTCGACCGGAGAGAGCGGACAGGACATTCACCACCTCGCGCCCCACATCTAGAAGCCCCGCCCCAATTCCTGTTGCTGCCGCGCCCCCTGGCCCATCGGGGTGCCGCCAGGCAGCCAGTGGCTGAGATCGCAACCCCGCTTCCAATGCGCGGAGGCTGGCACCCACTTTCACGGCGTACCCCTTCATCTGCTTTCGCATTGAACTCTGCCGGTGCGCGGCCTCCGCCACGAGCGCCTCCAGTTTCCCCTCATGCTCCCGTTGTTGGGCTTCAATTTTCTCAAGTTGGACAAGACAAACGTCCAGCTTCGCCGAAAGGTCCTTATGAGTGTTATCACGGACCTCTTCCTGAACTTTCCCAATGATGGAATTTCCGAACGACAATAACCGTTCATCAACGGAGTTCATGGTCAAGCGAAGGAGTTTAACATTGTCAAGCGCCTCATCACCTTGCTTCCGCGTTAGCTTATCAGAGCGGACAAATTCACTGATATTGTGCTGTATCTTCTGACAAAAGGAGCTGGACCGCCGTGCCTCTGTGAGGGCCTCCTTCACAGCCTCTCGGAGTGCTTCCAGTTCTTTGTGCACGCTGGGATGATCGTGGCACCATTGGTTTAGCTGTGTACATGTCTCGCTCATCTTCAAATCTGTTAACAAAGTTCAATCACATAAAAAGAGACCATTACGATGTGCCTCCAACAAACCAAGAAAATCATCATCATTATCATCATCACCACCAAAAGTGACAGCTGCATATGCAGTTGTTTCAACAGCGTCCAAAAACGACACAAAGCTCATTATCACGCGCATAGAGCAACACAAACACGACCCCGTCCAAAGAGCCAAACACACAATATTCTCCTTGTTTGCATCATACACTACCCAACAGAATACTCTACCTCACTCTTGTAACGGCTGGGAGCTCATCCAACACCTCACAGGCCTCCTCGCCAACCTGTCCCTTTCGTCCTTGGAGTTCGTACACGAGGACGGCAAGATTCTCAAACCTTGCGCTTAATTCGTAGTACTGCTGCATAATAGTTTCCGGGGTTTTGGCATCCACATTCTTGAAGGATGCTGCGAAGCGACGAGCCTCGTCCATCTTGGCGCGGAACCTGCTGTTCATACTTCGAACAACTTTTAAGGCCGCCAAAAGAAGTGATTCCTGTTCACTTTTGAGGGCGTAACCGAGGACGTTGAGTAAGCCAGGTAGGTTGCTCACGTTGATGCGCTCCTTCATGCGCATGTTTTGCATCGCGACTAGAAAATCAGCCACGACTCCGCATTCCGATTGATCAGCGCATAGCTGCTCAAGATATTCCAAAGCTTGCTGAGGGTCGCGCACCCAGAGAGAACGAACCACGCGAATGTGTGTCAGCCGTCGCTGCAAAACAGACAGCATTGACGCACTTGACTTTAGCAAGTCAGTCGTCAGCGAATTACTTGACCCTGCCAAGGGCGTGACAGAGTCACGCACAAGAGGCACCTTTTGTGGATTCGGATGCAATATCTGGATAGGCAGACTCCCTGTTGCCTTAGTGTTTTTTTCTTCGGGGGCAGAACGCAAGAATGGTGGTGCTGCCATGGCAGTTGCGGTAACAACAGTGGGGGTAGTAGGGGGAGACGGTGGCAGCTGTGGAGAAGCGTCAGAGCATTGACTAAGGGAGAGTCGCCCCATACGAGCCGTCGCGCCGCTGAACTCTACAAACAACGCTTCATCAGTGACTGAAGAAAAACTCAAGTCACCGATGATATTCCACGGGGATTCAATAGAGCACGCTGTGCTGTCGCTCATCAAAGTAAAGTCGTACACGCGCAGGACGTGGTCAGCCGCCACAAGCATCTTTTTGCCAAATAAATGCACTGCGTCTATGGGTGTGTCGAGAGGGCTGCTTTGGTAAACTTTTGTGAAGTTTTCCAGTTCCCACAAAGAGACGGAACCGTCACTACTGCCCACCGCCATGTAGTACTGCTCAGGGTGGAATTGTATGGATGTAACAGCCCCCGTGTGGGCGCGGAATTCATTCAGTTCCTTCCCTGACACCAAGTCATATAAACGGACGACGCCCTCGGCACACCCGCTAGCTGCCCAGCGACCGTTCGGGGAAAATTCCGTGGCGCACAGGGGCGACGTCGCTCCCTTGTACGACTGCAGACAAGTTTTCTTTCGCGTATCCCAAATGCGAAGACTTTTGTCCCGCGAGCATGTGGCGATAAAGTCTGTGTAGCGGTGGTAATCTACACCTGTCACTGTGGATTTATGACCGTTCCCAAAGGACCGGATGAACTTCTCCGTGCCGACGTCCCAAAGCCGCACACTGCCGTTGTCGTTTCCACCCACAACACGGCGTTGCTGCGGATCAAAGGCAAGAGCTGTCAAAGGAGACGGCTCGCTCTCTAAACGCGCAATACGGGGATAGTCTCCGAATGGATACACATAGATTGCGCCATCTTTTCCACCAAGGCCTACTAGCTGCTGGGCACGGTTCGGACTGAACCTTGAGCAATACACTTGACAAGGAAGTTGCAGCGCAGAGGTGGTGATCATCCCACTCTTCGTCTAACAAGAAAACAACAAAAAACAATGCCAATAACACACACACACTTACACACAATTTTTCTTGCTGTCTGCTTCTGTTAGCCCCTTCTAAGTGTGTGTGCGCATATTGGAATATAATCCATGTGCAAGGTATAAGATGGAGGAAGGAAGACCAAAAAAAAAAATGCAGTTCAAAAGAAAAACCAAGCCTCATCAGCACCCATTCTTATGAACATCGAGCTCACTCGCGATGAAACAAACAAACAAACAATAAGAATACTCTTGATCTCCCCAGGAGAACTGTGCAGAGACACTCCCACGACACATTGCAACCATGTAGCTCTCAAATGACAAAAATATATATACTTCTTCCATCACAGCGTGAAATACTTTCCATCTGGGAGCTTAATGGCGATAAAATTGTCCTCCTTGATAGTGCCCTCATCCGTTGCGTGCAGCAGCTCAAAGCAGGGCACGCAGTATGGACACGGACTGTCAGGAGACAGCTCATCGTTGTAGCAGGCTATGGTGGCAGGAAACTGCCGGCACATGCGGCACCGCACAACTCGAGTCGGTGCCTTCATGACGCGGTATGGATAGGCGCCCTTCTCGCGACAACGGTACCCGAGGCCACGCAAGCTTTCCACCGAGCTCAGGTAAAAGTAGTGGTTGCACCAGCCAAGGTGGCGAAGAACACCGAACTCTCCGAGCCTTACATCAAGGTCGGCGAAGGTGGTCTGAGAAACGTACTTTACGGGGCAGCGGCCAAATGCGGCATTTTCCCCGCAAGCGGCGTCTTTCCCTTGCAGAGGCCTGAAGTGCCGAATCGCGGCTGTCAAGTCCTCATAATTCTCGCCCTCCACACTGGCGTGGCGGTTGTCGACGTAAAATGTCCCACCAATAAACAAGAACGCGTTCTTGGACATGTTAACCGGAAGACAATTGCGACACTCAAAGGTGTCAAGGAGTGCCCCCAGAGTTTGACAGGAGAGCACGGCCCATGAGTCCTGCACCTCAAGTGACGACTCTGGGGCGAGAAATGTGAACTCCCATTGGTGCGAGTGTTCCTGCAGACAGAAGTCCTCCGATGTGTCCCGTACAATATGGCGCGAACTCCTCGTTACAGCGTTCTCTTGATGACGCAACGGCTTGCTGAAAGTCTCATGGTTCGCGCTGTCCAGAGCCCGAAGCTGGAGCCGGTTTCCGTCATAATCTTGCTCCACCGCCTCCCGCAGCTGCTTCACTGGCTCTACATCTACGAGAAACTGAAGGAGGTTCGGTCGATTTCCACACTCCGCGTACTCTTCCTTGATGCGCGCGAGCTGTCGTTCGCTTTCCTCCCGAACTACAGTTACAATTCGCTCCGTCTTTGAGAGTACCTTGCGTGCGGGCAACTCCGGCAGGGGTGACTTCTCCTGCCTTACCAGCATGTCTAGCTTCGCGTCGAGTGCCCTCAATGCCTCCTCCATGGAGCCGATAGTGAAGTAGCTGCCATACGGATTTCCTCGCTGTGCCAAAACCGGCGGCATGTGCACGACTGTCCCGGCAGGAAGCGGCTCTGCGAAGGCATGTGTGGCCAAGCCAGGGTTGAGGCGGCGGAGGTCCACGAGGGACACCGCCGTTTGGGTTGAAATGCTGGCGAGGGAGGTCTCCTGGCTGGCGTCAACCACAACAGCGAACGGATCTAGCGCTTCTCCCGGCGGCATCACAATACCACCCCCAAGCTATCGTCAAGGCCAACCGCCTGCCCACAGCCGCCGCTACTCGTTCTTCACAACTCTGGGTAGCCTTGTGCAAGCGTTCTTGCTTGCTCACAAGAACTTAAGCCAAAAAAAAAAACGAGGAAGAAACACACAAAGACAGCACATAAGAGATATCCATTGGAGCAATCGCAAGCAGCGGCTCAATGCGACCCCAATGACTCAGCACACTTTCGGATCCTTTCCCTTCCGTTTACTCCTCCTCAAATAGGATGTAAAGGAGCGATTCAGAAACATACAGGGGAAGTGACCTTGTCCACATTTTTCTTCGTGCTTTGCCTTTTCTTCTCCATACATATTGTCTGCTGGTGCGGCATAGAGGAGAGATGCCACCCTGGTGCATAAAGGAATCTAACACTGAACGTAGCATCCTCTTCATTCTTCTTTTCCTTTTATCTTCTCTGCATGAACAAACGACATTTTCCACCGCCTCCTGAGAGTCAGCGTTCTCTGTTGAAGAAAGGCTAGTGAAGAAAAAAACAAAATTGCAAACACGACATTCGACGAATTTTTACGTCGATGGCGTGTTGAGGTAAAAGTCTACTAATTGGTGACGAAAAGCGACATTGCGCAAAATGTCTGTCCGTCCCCGCGCCCGAATGAACCGCACACAACTGACAGGGTCCATGTGGTAATGCTGCATGATGTATGCAATGCAGAGCGTCACACTGCGGTTGATGCCTGCGATGCAATGAACAAAGACACGGCGGCTAGCCCGCCTCGCCTCGTTAACGATTTCCGCAAAACGGTCATAGCAGTGGTACAGTATCAAGTAATCACTCTGATCTTCCGCACAGATACTATGTACCTTGAATTCTGCCTGCTCGCATTCACGGGTCTCGTACTCTCCTGCACAGCAGTTAATAATGGTGTCGATGCCCTCACGCCGCAGGTACTCCAACGTCTCCTCATCTGGCAGGCCCCCAACGTAGAGACCATCTACGAGTGGCGTCACAGACGGCCCTGGACGCCAAGCGCGGTCCAATCTAACAAGCGACAACTCCGCATCCAGGTTCGCGCGAAGCTGTAACTCTTCGCGCATCGTCTGTGGTGTACAGAGTGCAGCTTGGGACAGTTGTGACTCCACACGGGACGCCTTGGGCGTCATCAGCTGGCTTGGTCGCATCTCCGTGCCTAAATCATTTGCGGGGTAACCCCAGCTGTTACGCTGGCGCTTTGGCGTGGGCGGCGAGCAGCTGCGCTCCAGTGGGTAGTCGGAGAGGCGGTGGTAGCACACGAACGGCGTGCCGTCGGGAGAGGTGCTGGTACGTGGCGGAGTGCAAGAGCGGGCTGCCATGCGCAATGTTCACACTCTGCTAGCTGGCTGGGTCCTCTTTGGTAGTATGTAATGAAATCAGGAGGAGGGGTGAGGGACTCGTTTCCTTTCCCCACACCAAGTGATAACACCGAAGAAGACCCCCCACCCCCACAAAGGAAAGGAGAGAGACGAACAACCAAACCAGAAAAGAAAAAGATCCACACAAAACACCTATAGTCGAACAATATCAATACGGTGAAATGCCACAGCGACCGTGTTACTTATACAACTTAAACGGATGGCGTACCAATTGCCAGAAAGAAGAGTGTCGACAGAGTTCAACAAGCAGGAAAGAGGAGGAGGACCTTCACAACTCGTGCAGCATAAATATTCTGGCCTTCTTGCGGTGCTTCGGGCTCAGTTTGCGTATAGCCTTGTCATTCTTGATCTTCTGCACCACCATGTTCTTCTTCTCATTTGCCTCCTTCCGTGCGAAGTTTGCCTTACGCGCCTCCCGGACACGCTTCTCCTCGTTGTTAATGTCTTCTTTCAGCTTTCGTGACAGCTCACGCACACGCCTTGCGCTTTCCTGCCGCTTTAACTTATTCTCCAGATCCCGGGGGTTCTTTTTCGCCCCACTCACTCTGGACGCACGGTTCGGCGTGCGCTGCGGCTTCGGCAGCTTGCGTTGCTCCAGTCCCCCCATTGTTGTTGTGTTGTACGCGCGTGCGCTGCGGCCTTCTGTCAAAGAAGAAGATAGTCCAACGAAACAACAAAACATATGATAATAACAACAATAACAACAACAATGATGGTACCAGGAAAAAGCAATAAAAAACAATACAGAGGGTCACAGAGTGACAGCAGAACATCCATGGATGAGGAACCCTCCGTGCAAAAAAAAAAAACGCAGCACCTGCTATGCTGAGTGATTGGGAAAGGTTGGGATGGGGAAACAATACAGAAAGCGGCACACAACGCACACAACTCCTCACCTGCAGTTCCCCTTTTTTTTTCTTCTTTTTTTTTATTCCTTCTCTCGGTTATGCCTACACAGGAGGTATACACTATTAATGAAGCCCATCTGCAGAAACACAAATGCAAAGACATCTCCATCTACAACTTGCGCATGCTGAGCTTGAGAGCGCGGCGCTCGTGCTTGTTCCCAAGCTGGCTCTGCTGCTGCTGCTGCAGATAGTTCTTATAGAATCGCTTGTAGGCAGTTTCGATCTCCGGTTCAAGAGAGTCTACAATATCACTGACTCGCTGTGGCATCGCAATAAGCTTTTGAACGTGCTGCCGAATTGGTTTGCCTTCACCTTCAAATACCAAACGGAGGAGATCAAAAAGTTCCACGTGAAGGTTCAACAATTTACGCGCGCTGGGGAGGCTTCCTCCCATCGTCTCCAGCAATTCTTCCAGTGCCTGGTCCACCTGCTCGGTGTGCTGCCAGAAGAGATAGCGGAGGGCCTTGTACTCCGTCTGGGAAGCCAAATGCGGCTCCGACGATGAATCGCCTGGAGCCGCGTCCGTGTGTGCGGCGACGAATTCGTCATGCAACTGCACACCGTTGACCACCATGTACTCGTGCAGAGTCTCAATGGCGGAAGGGGAGAAGTAGTTCTGGAGGAAGGACATGTTCTTCTCGGCCTCCACACAGCGCATGATGAACTCCGGAAAGGGCGGAAATGACGCCACAATACTTTCATTGGCGTTGTCCGGTAGGATACCCAGTGTAACAAGCACGCGCAGAATGGAACGCCGCGAGTCACGCTTCTCCACGTACTTCGGATCCTCGGGTATGCCGAAGTGCTTCAGAAACCGCTCCACCCGCTCCTTATCGAAGCGAACACGCCACAAGAGATGTGGGATCTTTTGCGTGCCCCGGAAGTTGTACCAGATGATCACCGGCAAGCCGATGAGGATGCCAAGGAGACCGAAGAGTACCAGTCCGTCATGCTCGCGCGACGTGAGGAAACGAGGGAGCGCGATTCCCACCGAGAACTCCTGCACATTCTTCGCCTCCTCCTCTTCAAACGCCTCACGATCCACGAGGGCCTTGTAGGCGCGACGCACACTAATGTAAATGTCGCGTGCCTCGTCCGTCTTGTTGTGGTCAGGGTGATACCGCTTGGAGAGTGCGCGGTACGCCTTCTTGATCTCGCTCGTTGTGGCAGTGGGCGCGATGCCGAGAACGGCGTGGGCATCAAACGTCAGCGTCACATACATTGCTGAGGAAAACAGAACCACCCAAAGCCAGAGCACCAGAATCTTGGGGCGGATGGTGAACTTGAGGAACTTCGGCATCACGCAGCGAAAGAAGAAAACCTTCTCACTCCAGCAGACACGCGCGCCCGTCAGCAGCATCGCCGGGTTTTCTGCAATGAGCATCATTACGCGCGGTATGTATGTCAGCGAGTCCCAAATGTCTACTAGTGGATTCACCAGACCGCTCCGCTTCTTCCGCGGCGACGTGTAGTACTCAAAAGTGCCCCGTACGTGACTGATTAACCACGGAATATACAGTATTATCATGACTACTGAAACAATGGCGAAGGCGAATGAGATAAAACTCTCATCGCTTCCACCGATGCCGCTATTAACCATTCTTCGCTGTTTTTGTCTTCCTTTCCTTGCACGCTCGCTCTTGTGTATTTGTTCTCTTGGCCAAGGAAGTCTTGTGCTGCTGCGCTGGTCTTTCTTTTCGTCGGCGCACAACTTTCAATTGCGGATTCTTAATCGATTCGGCAAGAGGAAACAAAAAAGGAAAAAAAAAGACAAAAAAAAATGAGAAAAAAAAAAAGGACACAAGCGAACGAAACGAATAACCCAAGCATGTTCAAAGCTCTCTCCTTGTGTGTGTGCGCGGGTGGCGCAAAGCTATTACCGTTTACATCGCGGGGTCGGCTCCACGGCACCGGGGCACCTCACTTGCTTGGTTTCCGGAGCAGAAGAATCTTGATTGACCACACAAACGCGAAGAAGGCCAAAATGAAGAGAATGTGCCGCAGTTGCAATTCAGAAGGAGCATTGCTATCCTGGTGCCGATCGTGTGCAGCCTCACGTGCGACCGCCACTCCAACGGTTTCACTGAGCTCCCGCAACGTCTTTGGGGTCTCCGTGCTACGCCTGCCCACGCCAATCATAGCCGTGTGGGCAACACCATCTGTAAAGTGTAAGGACGTGTGGCGACAGGAGAGGATGTATGACCAGAAAAAAAGAGGGGACAAAACCACAAACACACCATACAGAAGAAACACAGACAAACACAACGACCTTATAGATGCACCCATACCCATAGGAGGTATGACAAAGGGAGAGAGAAGAGAGTATATATGCAAATTGTGCGTATATGCGTCTGAGTGATACGAGTACACCTTCACCTTTCCTCATCCAAGTCATCACTTTCGGTGCCGCAGCTGTCAGTCCACTCGTCCTCCTCGATGAGGAACGGGTGCACGAGCAACTCTGCGAGGGTGGGACGATTGCCTGCATCCTCCTGCAGGCATTGCACAGCAAAGCTCACGGCGGAGGGACTCAGCTGCATCACCTCAGGCGATATGACGTCCACCTCCAGCAAGTCCTCCGTTTCGTACAACTTCCCCTGTGGTGCCATGAGTTGCATGAAGACTGCCCCCACCGCCCATATGTCGGCACTATAGTCAAACGCTGAGTTCCGCTTGATCTCTGGCGCACAACAGCGCCACACCTCACGCCCTATATCACTAGAAGGTACAAATAAATATATGGGAAGCACGTGCTGTGCAAGGAGAATAACCCCAGAAGGACGGTGAACACGAAACGTATCCAGACGTATATGCCCGTGTACTAGATGGCGACTGTGCAGAGCGTAGAGTGCCCGCAGGACTCCCCGCATAGTGATGCGCGCCTCTTCCTCTGTGGCTGGGCACTGCAGTGGCTCCAAAACACTGTCAGCAGTGGAACCCATCGCAACAACAAGGTGGCGCGGGGATATCTGCACATCCTTGTACTCCACAAGAAACGGCGACGAAGGCCAGCTGGCTAAATGCTTGATCCTTTGCCGAACCTTCTCGACCTCATCAACAAAAATGGCATGCTTTCGTATTCTAAGGTCTGGCATACACTGAAATACCTAGAACTACAGAAGGGCGGAAAACGAACACCTTTGTGGCCCAAGGCATCAACAACAACAGCAACAACAACAACAACTAACCAATCAACCAAACAAGATTTCGCCTTTCACTTGCATTCAATTTATTGGACGTGCCATTGCCAGCGACACCACTATGCTTGCTCTGCAACGTCATAGAGCGAACACCATGTTCCCCTCCCTCTCCAACCGCCTATTTTTTTCCGTTTCTCTTGCTGCTGTCGAAGTTGCCAACCTCTGGGATGAAATCTTCTTCACTAAACTCTATCCGCGACGCCTTCCACCCTGCTGACGCAAAATCAGCTCCCTTCTTTGAGGACGTAGCTTCCACTCCTTCTCCTGTGACTGAAGACGAACTATACCGCCCATACGTGGGACGTGGTGGCTCTTCCCGCATGAGTGGGTTCATACCCTTCGCGTAGCCGGCGGTATTGGTGTGAGCATGACGGGGACTCGAATGAGACGCTGCCACATCTTTTAGGAGGCCTGTGTTCTCCTCCGACTCGGGGCTGAGCAGATGCGTCAGGTACGGGAACTGCACCGACATGCGCGCGTGGAGTTCATCATTATCTGCGGCGGCGGTGGCCTTTTCCACATCCTGCTTGGTTGGCAAGTTGAACCACTGGCGAAACGTTGCGGAGCGCAACAAGAGGGGCTGAAGCAAGCCGACTAAACTCATTCCGACAAAGTAGAGGGCTACACCAGCACGAATGTGCACTACCGCTGGGAGGATACAGAGACACCCAAGGCGGGCCCCCCAAATGGCGTTCAACATCCAGCCTGTTTTAAGCTCCTTGCTGATGGACAACTCAAAGTTCATCAGTGTCAGGCAACAGAAGGCAATCGGGAAAACCGCGTATGGATCTGGCATCGTCAATGCCATGCACCAGAGGAACGAGGAAGTCCCTACATCAAGCTTCGGATTCTCACACAGCGCCGTCGTTTGGAAGAGTCCGAGCAGCACTATAGGCGTCCCTAGAAGTGACGACAGACATTGCAAATTAGACGTCTTCTCCTCTGTAAAGATACGCCGGCGCTCACCTTTCAATGCCGTAGCGGCGAGTTGAATATCCAGCGCGGTGGACCCCTCACGATAATACACGCGCTGAAACGCCTCATGTGGGGCTTTCAAGCGCCGCATCGCATTTCGCATCCGCTCTGAAGCACGTTCCCCGTAGAGCGAAAAGTACAATGTGGAGAGTCGGCAGAGTGCACCGAAAAGAAGAATGGCAATCGCCGGATCGATTCCCAACGCCTGTTGGCAGCTGACAAAGGCCTCTGCGAAGGGCGAGGACTCAGGCACCGGCACCAAATTTTCCGTGGCACCAAACCACTGGCGATTCCAGAAGCTGTCAAGATAGTCATAGTATGTATTCGGCTCGCCGTTAAGATCATTGCGACTGCTTCCGCCATCCCAGCCAGCCGTTGAGACAGTGCGCCGAGTCACTATAAGCGGCAGGCAGGACTTCGCCCGTCGCAGCGGAATGACACGCCTCAAACTCCACATGAGAGCTGTATGCGTGTGCTATGGTAAAGGGGTCTCAGCGCAAAAGAGAAGAAGTAACATCCGAGCAAACAGAAGCTAAGATAGTAAGCACTTTCGAGTAGGGTATAATAGTGTTTTTTTTTTGTGAAAGTGGCAGAGTATTCTCCATTCAAAGCGTCTTCACTTGCAATCTGGGGGTATAGCGGGGTATGGTGCAGAGCAAGGTGTTGGCACCACATGTGACTCAACTGGAGGATACCATAAGGACGGGACGCAAATACTCATCCAGTCGTCTCTGGAGTGCTGCCGTTTTTAATTTGAGGAGGCCCATCTCTAGACCGCTACTCACCAAGCAAAGTATCGCCGTCCCGCCAACAGACATGGCGCATAACTTCTTGCTGCTGAAATCCATCAGAACCTGCTCCAGTGCCTCGGGTTCCACTTCATTCGTAATCTTATTTTTAGCCAAGTCATTACGGGCGCAGGCGCGCCACACATTTCCTATCGCAGCAAGAATCATGGATCGTTCCCTCGTGTGGACGTACTCCGGGTCGGCGGACGCGGAGGAAAGCAGCACACCATTCTCGTCAAGAAGAAAAGCCGTCACCACACCATTCCCCACGGCGTGGTGCATGGAACTGTTGATCGCAGACGCGTCAAGCATTTCTACTCACTCCTTGCGGTGCAAAGTAAGAGAACGGAAATGCAAAGTAAAAAAAAAAAAAAA